CTTGCATCGGAAGTGTTCCTAGTGCTTTCGAGATGTGCCATGTGGAGTATAGGGTGGCTGGGGTTTAGCACGCAAGACTCTGCGGCGAACAAGTCGCGAACACTTGGTCGGGATATTCGTGCACTTGTATTCTGGTTTACCGAAGTCGGAAAGTTGCACGATTCTAATGGCGACCACACTTCGCCTGAATGTTCGCTATTCTCTGACATCGAATAACCTCTAGAAAAGTCTTTTGTGTCCTCGTCATCTGTAGTTGGGCTCAAATGCCTTGGGTTGAGAAATTCGTCTGGAGGTCCATGCGCATTCCTACATCCCACAATGCTATCACTGCACCCACTACACGGATAAGGAGTGTCGCTTCTATCCCCATCAGGTGGCGCTTCTCCCTTGTGCTTCCTCTTGAGCATCGTCTTGAATAATTTCTCCTTCCGCTTTGTCGCCCAACGCCAGGACTGTTTTAAGAGGTGCTTCCTTCCAGGTTTTCCCGACAGACCATCTATTAATTTCGAAATCCTGTTGTCCACGAGCTCCAGGGTTTGGAGCTCCTCGTCAATCAATTCGCCCTCTCCACACCTCGCCAGTTTTGCGAGTACAATACCTTCAGCGGTTTCAGTTCCAAGGTCAAGTTTTGGAGCGATAGAATGGAGTTGCGTTGAAGGCGGCCCAGTTGGTAGCGTTCCACCTACTGGTGTGGCCACTTTTGTCTCCGGGGAAAGCTTGCCAACTTCTGTAACTGTTTTTGTTGGAGAACTGGCGACAGTGTATGACCATTCTGAGGTAGGTGAGCTTGATGAGGTCCAGCCTGAGCTTGTTGGCGAGGAAATTGGGGTATTTTCCTTTGGGTGGACTTGCGAGACTTCTTCCGCACGCTGCATCGAAAACCGAGTTTGCTCAATGATCTTCTGTAGTACTTCGGCTACAAATTTCTCATAACCTATCCCTACTAATCTCTTGTTTTCGCCATAAAGAAGATCTGGTTTCTTGCTAATTTCCCGCACAGGAGGGTTGTGGAGCTTATAATGAGATACTCCATGCTTGCTGCCAGGAGTCAGATTGCTTCGGGCTTTGAGACTTGTGAGAGTTGGCGAATATGGGTGAAAGGCCCATTCGTAAGGCTGAACGAGTTGAACGGCTTCGAGAGGAAAAAATCTCATCATAGGCAGACGGCCCTTGAATTGCCCGGCAATTTTTTTCTCTGGGATTGGGGCGCAAGGCTCTAAGATTAGATGTTGTTAGCACGGAAACTCAGTCATTGGAGGGGTTAAATTACTGACCTTGTAACTTAGAGTCATATGGAGGTAAAAACTCTTCCCTTGTCGCAATATAGTCAAGTGCGTCCTCATATTTGCTCCCAAGAGCCCAGCTATCAGACGCAATAAGAAGAACTATTAAGAGAAGATCGATTTCCAATTCAAACTCATCAGCTCTTTTGGCCGAGTACGCGTACTTGACTTTAACCAACTTTCCGGGGGTTATTTCCTGTGGAAGCAAGAGCCCAGAGTTGATATCCTTCACTTTTGGTAGAAAGGATTTTGATAAACTAGGTGAGGTTGCCCCAGCAAGGTTAGAAACCTGACTTTGCGACCCACAAGGGCTTGTATAGCTCCCCGTCGATGTGGGCACTCGCTTATTCTTTTCCAAATCGCTAGCCTGACTTTGGAATGTTGGGACAGGCTCCTGGTGCGATTGAACTGCTGATGATACTGGCTGCAAGGTGAGTCGACCTACTGCACCTGGATGTATATGATGCATGGGACGGGTTGGTTGAATTTGTGGATAGTATGTTTGTTTCAAGGCCGATATCTGCGAATAACAGGGAACAGAGATAGGTTCACATTCCACAGGATCAAAGCCGAAGAGGTTCAAGACTTCGGTAGCACTACCACCACGGCTACTGAGAGCTGGATGGGGTGAGTCTGGGCTATCATCTCCCTTCCGATGTTTTGTATCCTTCTCTAATGCCGTTATATCGATAACGCCACCTTCGTTTTCACTTTCCTCTTCATCGTCCTGGTTTTTCTTCACCCTCGGCTTGCATTTCTTCTTTCTTCTTGCCTTTGCAACCAACTTGTCCACCCCGTCTGAGATCTTACTCCCGATTGCTGATGCCTTTGTGGCAGTAAGGCTAGCTTTGGATCGCAGGGATGCTGCAAGGGATTGACTTCCTGAGGGCAGATCTACACTTGACTGATTCCTAGAAGTATCTGCATCCATGACCCGTAGCTTTGCGCCTTCAGAGAGTCCTGTCGGGACATATTCTCTTGACGGTTGCCCAGGAGTAACGGCAGGCCCCCTGGCCTCTTGATAGTCCCCGGTCATGGCATTGATTGTTGGGTCGTTTGGAAGTTCTGAGTTGGTCAGCAAAGTGTATGCTGAGTCTAACCCTTGCTTCGAGATTTCTGGTGTTCGCGCTCGCCGTTGCCTTGTTGGCTCCGGAGCTGGGGGGGACTCTTCCTTTGGAATCTCAATGTCGTTTGATCCGTCCCTAATACGCCACCCTGTCCTAGGATCCCTATATACTACCGTCCTGCCTGTCATAGGGTCTATGTCCCCTCGATTTGGAAGTTCTGAAGGATTGGGTCCATATGATCCAGCTTGGTTCCTTCGAAGTTCACCTGACAGTCTCTGTATAGCTTCTAAGGCCCCTCGTGGAGTGATGGCTTGTTCGTAGGGTGGGGGATCTTCCCCTTCTGCTATAGGTGGGGTAGCAAGTCTGGCTGGAGCGGTTTCTGCGTATATTCTGTCCAGCACGTGGGGCTGGGTTTTGGGTTTCTCCCTATCACCATCCCCAGGAGGCTTATTCTTATTGCTCATTTCAGCCAGTAGTAATCAATTCTAAAGGTAAGGAAATGCTGCTCTTGAGTAGACTGGCAGAAGTCAGAATCTCAGTATGAGAATTCGGGATAGAGGGGCCAGTTTCATGCAGATGATGTATAGTTGATGGCAACAGAAGAGGGCAAGCAAACTAAGTCTGGATAAGCTATAGGAAGGAAAGTACAAGTAACTTGCACTGAAGGCGAAGCAGTAGAGGTAAGGAAACAAGCTAATCTCGCGATTCAGCAGAAGCTGGAGTTTTCCACAAGTAAATAGGTACTCAGTACGAGTTGGTTCCAAGCCGTACGGAGGCGTGACATCCCATATTACCTCTTTGGCCCAGTTCCCTACTTCAGTAATTAACTCTATTTGTTGCTTTGCTCGCAGTACTATTTAGCTTGTACCTCTCTGGGACACATGTACTTCTTCGGAAGTTCGAAGTTGCCCTGAAGTATCCTGCCTGCTGTTTCTGAAGTCCACCAGGGGCATTCTACTGCTCACCTACCACCTTCTTCCCCAGAAACCCTCGCTGTACTCAGGAGATCACTTATATTATGCACCCACTACCTTCATCCCTTCTCGAAATCAAATCCAGGAGCTCATGATATCTTCCGGTAAGAGATTGTTCCTTCCACTTCTCTGCCAGTCTTCTCTCCCAAGTATAATAATTCAATGCCATCAACGCAATTGCTGTAGCTGTTATATGGACCTTGAGCCTCACTATGGAAATACCTCGATGTGCTGTAAGGTCAGCCGTGCTTTGGAGGGGTTGAATTCATGTGCTAACTTTTAGGCGGTATTGGTTCTGGCTTCAAGTGCACTCAGTGGGGGTACCTCAAACACGTCTGCTACAATAAGCGGTGAGTTCCACCCCCGTCTTTACCAATAGAGAGAGCTCAGCATTCTGACATTAAAAGTAGCACCGGGAGTTGGTTACCTAACCCTCTGACACTGCATACACTGGTGTTGCTATCTAGACGGCACACAAGCTCTCTGAGGCCAAAAAAACTCAAGGTGACACTACGGAGGCCATCACGCTCCGACCCCGGAAAATATCAGTCACAGGTAAGCTCATGTCCAGATGAAAGTAATCTGGGTCTCTACTCCTCATCTGAATGAATCTATTGAAATGGAAGTGTCTGAGAATCCATAACATCCAGTAAGATTGCTTCTCCCTGAGAGGCCAGAGGAAACCGTTGGGCCAGAAAAGTCTTTTTCATGTGTGGATACTTCGACCGATGGACTTGAACGGGTTGAATGAAATTGCCAAAACCGCTCCAGATCACCCCGAGCAGAAAGATATTCCTGAGACTGATCTTCTAATCTACCCACTGGCTATCGCACCACATAGCAGCAGTTATCCCAATGCTACGGAGTCTGTGGCCTAGGGTCCCTACAAGCCATCTGTGAAGGAAAGAATTGAAGAGTCTGCTTCTATTTCTATAATTTCCCTGTACTTCCGATGCTAAAACAACATCCACCAAGACTACAAAGATCACCTCCAACCTTTCTACTAACGTTTCTACAACTGCAATGCATGACGCTCCTGGCATTGCCGTAACTGTTCTCGCAACCAGCAGAGGCCTAGTCCTTTCCGTCTTGCGTGGGCTGGTTTTTCCTCGTCTGAGCTGATCTCATATTCTTCCCTTTCTTACATTTCCCTTTTTCTATCATGTGTTTCCAGACACAGGCTCTTTCACGGTTTCGTATATTTTCTTGCTGCTATATGAATGGATAACGCGGAGTTGGGAAAATTAAGGGGAGCTGTCCTCCTCAGAGAAACATCGAGTAAAGTGAACAAGTTATTTGTGTGCTTTCATAAATAATAAATGCTGATAGATGTTATATTTTGACCTAGTACTTATGAACTGGAAGTTTCATTAGAGGTACAGAGCAGCAAGAAGCCTACATAGTCTTGTTGCACAACCCTGGTAAAGGAATACCTAGTAGAGCACACAAATTTAGGCGGTTAGGAGCTGACATTACGTGCTCAGAATATTGTTTCTTCTGGGGAATAATTGTGGTGACTAACCTTAGAGCATTAGCATCAGCACATCAGCAAATCAGCAAATCAGGACATCAGCACATCGCATTGTACTTGTGCCTGGGCACAACTTCTGGTAGCATTCTACTTTTGAGGACCGGGAAAAAAAGAGGGCAAGAAAGAAAAGGCAAAAAAAGAATTATTCCGTCGCCGGGAATTGAACCCGGGTTCTGAGAGTCCTCGACTCAAATATCTGAGTATGAGAGTCTCAAATGCTAGCCACTACACCACGACGGATGTTTTATTTATGTTGTGAGAGTCGATTTTTGCCACATAAGGTGATTGTGCTCCCGTACTTCTCATCGATAATCTATATCCTTTCGTGTTTGTAAGTATCGCGAGAACAATACTTTCAACAGTTCTCAGGACCCAAAGCAAGTGTGGTCGTTGCATCGGGTGATGAAGAAATTGAGCGTGAACATTTGGAGAATTTGCATAAGAAAACAATAGATTGCTCCCGGGCTACTGCATATCCGCACAATTAACTTAATGCTCCATTCCCTTAAACTTCACGCCTCTTCATCTAACATCCACATACGCATGCGTATGGGTCTGGAATAAACACCCCCTTCTCATAACCAGGATATTATACCTCTCACAAATGGGTTTTGTGGTAGAAATACCTTTTACACAACCTTCAGGACTTCCCTTACTCCAATTTCTTTTACTTATATTCGCGCATTCAGTTCATTGATACTTCGTGATGAAGACATTTTACTTGCACCTTTTACTCCCCTTCACGGCAATTCCTCCTTTCATAGCTCCCTTCACCCGCGCCGCCGAATGCAATTCTGACACTCCAAATCCCTGCCAATATGCCAATGTAGACTATACAGTCAAAGAAGATGGGTCATTGGAAAGATACGTCGGACAGCGCAAGAATATGATCAATTCCTCTCCTGCTATTGACAATTTTCGAAGATTCTATCAAAGTGGAGATCTTAATCCTACTGAAGAGCTTGATCACAATATCATGGAGTTCACTCCTGCACATGCAGGCAGGAAACTCAAATCGAGAGATGATGAGTTTGAGCTATGCTGTAAGTTAGTTGGCATCAAAACCCTCTGCTCCTTTGTCTCGGGGGAATCTGGTTGCTGATTATAATACCATAGGTGGGCAACCTATCGAGCAATGCGTTGCATACAAGGTGAATTTGGAATTCGCATTCTGCTATAATTCTGTGTAAGTGTAGTTTCTTCACAGAGTATTACTTATCTCAATACGGGCGATATTAATGTGTGTACTTTGATTTTAGCACCAGGGTGTTTCAACTTGCAAACGGTGCCAGGGGGTCTTTGGAGACCTTGGAGTTTGAGTACCCCAATGGTACTAAGAGCAGTTTTGATGAGCTGAACTTGGGTTTTGATTATTTTCGTGTTAAACCATCACCCTGGAAAACTGAAACAATAAAGACGACTACAACCAAGAGCAAGCAAGCCGAAAGCAAAGATGTGGAGTAAGTTTCCTCCTCGAGTGTTTCGCCAGTATGATTGCAGAAATACTGATGCGGAGATGTAGGACTAGTACTGGAGGGGTGACTTCGACAGTTCAGAAGGCTATAACTTTGCAGACTTCAGATGCAACTGTGACCTCCACAGTGCACAGGACTGTAGATATATCCACCAAGACAACAACGGTCACACAATCAAGTGGAGGGGATTCAATGAAATCGAAAAATAAATTCAGGAAGTTGTTGGTCAAAGTGATAGCCGCTTGGGTTGCGCTTGCTGCCATCTCTGGGGGTAAAAACTGTCTTATATCGGAGCTTTATGCAGATGCTGACGATGTGCTGAAGCCCCGAGAGTAGAGTATTTCTCATAGTGCCTCCATACATCCCTCGAGCCAGAGGATCGACATGATGGGGAACAGTGGCTAGACAGGGAAGAAGGAAGGTTGCAGTTATAGAACAGTCGGTGGTGGTGGAGCAGGCTATGGATATCGCTGTAGCGGGGGGTTATATTAGTACTAGTTTGTATGTGTTTGGAGGTATTCTGTATGTGGCTTTGAGTTAACCAAAACCGTCCAATTTTCGAATATTGTTAAAGATTAATTATAAAACCAATTGGCAGAAAAAAATGCAAAGGGGTTTAAGGGAGAGTAATTCTCAAACATACTGTTACCCCAAAGTCAGCCACAGAATTTTTGCGCGTTATAGAGCCTTTCGGAGTTGGGGAAATAGTTATTATGTACCTTTTACATACAAATTTGAATGGGAACCCCATGTACCTCCATCATGAGTGGGTATTTTGTGCTGTAGCCTTTGGAGATTCCAGGGAAACATATTTAAAAGAATATATGTGAGTGAGCATCCATTCACTGTGATGGTCTTAACTAGCGAGCACAGTTTTTTCTCGACTTTTATAACAGGGCACTTTTGAACTATTTTCGCTGCGTTTTGCGCTGCTATGCGATCAAGAATAGTCTAGAACTCTAAGTACCTGTGTTTGTGGATCTGAAGATGGTGAAATAGAATTAGGCATTGGGAGCGATCGTTACTAATGGTTATGTTCAGCAAATATTTATTTCTCTGCTATAAGCATATACTGTTGTATGTGAAATTTATCACTAGACTGAAGCTAAAGTCTCGAGAGAGAGTCACTAGTTCAGGGTAAATCAATCGCAATAGAGTTTGTGATTCTAATATATGTACTATGCCTCACTTGGGTCAGCTACCTCATCTTTCGCCTACTAAAATATTTTTTCTAGGAGAAAACTGAATAATCCAAGAGGCTTTCGATTTTGAAATTATACTTTTTTTGCACCAAAGCCTATTGATTTTCGTAACATAGGAGTTTTCTTGCACTCGAAAGTTCGCCTGCTGATCATGAAGTCGCATCCAGATCAGAAATTTTCAATGATCAAAACCTTGCTTAAGCTTGTCTGATTCACAGCTTGCACAGCTTCCACATCCACATCTAGTCTCGTACCCAAAACCATGACTTGTATAATTCACTACAGAGCATACCCAGCTACTATCAAGTATCCCGAGATCTTTGAGGCTCTGGGCTTTGGTTTATGGGTATTCGCAGTACTCCATCGGCAAAACCTCCGATATAAGAAAATTCTTCGGTATAGGAAACTGGGCCCTTGTCTCACTAGAATCTGTGTGGAAAAAAATAAGCCTTTCGTCATGGGAATATTTCCTTAACGGTTTCTGAGGGTAGATAATAGGATCCTCTCACACAGGATATAAATACCTCTGCCTCCGAATCCGAATTCACTGGGAAATGGTGCAATGGCACAGATATACCGTAACAGGGGTTGGTCTTGACAAGGGGGAGTTGAAAATCAGGAGGCAGAGGCACAATAGAAGGCTATGGAGGTGGCAGCTGAGTGGTCGGCCTTAACTGAAGGGGGTGGTGTAATATGATAGAAAGCAGGGCGGATAGAGGAGGGTGCGGAGGCAGTCGAGGGGTTTTCTAGCGGGGGATGTCGATTATTTTTCTTTTCTTGTAAACTTATATTGGGTTGTTGTACGCTGGCTCCGATTCTATCTGATATAAGCACCAGATCCTACAGGAAATGTTTGCCTCTCCCCAGTCCTAGTGTATCCCGATGAGGCGCCATGATAAAGCACCCGAAACCCAGGTGGATTAATCTGCCAGTCCGGCGAGTGCCTACAGAATGACAGTAAAAGTCAGAGATTGAGGACTAGTACTATACACAAAGCAAAACTCGCATGAATTTCAACTATGAGATAAAGGGTGAAATTGAGGAATGCCGGTGTATAAAAACAAAAACTGTCATGAATTTGGAATAAACGTAAGAAAGTCTCGTGTGAGATGGTCAGTCCCTGTATTTCCTGCTGAGCAAGGCGTGTACAGCGAGGTAAGAGAAGAACATGTCCACTGCGTCCTAGTCATCTCCGTTCTCTGAGCATTTGTGATGAGAGGTGGTTCATTTCTAAACTACCTATGCTACTGCTCTGCCTACATAAAGAAAGCACCCCCCCCCAAAACAAACAAACACTACCGCTATCTAATCTATCTATCAAGCCCATCGCCTTTCCTGGAACAACCGTCACTTATCACACAATAACCTTAATATCAAAAAGTAAGTCTGCAACCGCTATATAATATCCCCATACATAACTCAAAACTCAATTGACCACTTCTCCTTCCACATATGCCCTTAACCTGTTCCCATTGATAGGTTTTTTTTAGGAATCCAACTCGCTTCCCTGTTACCAGCGGGTCTGTTCTCAATTTGTACACATTCTTATCTCCCACACCGAATGAATGACGAAGGGCCCAGTCCATCTAGGCGCAAGACAGGCGCAACCCTTTTCCCATTATACTTCGACTTCCTCTTCCAAACTGTATATCCTAACTCATATTGCCTGAAGGCTCCTTACCTACCTTTATTTCTCTTAGCTCCGGGATATCTTCCGTAACCACCTAATTCTCCTCGCCACACCTTCTTTGTGTTCCTCAAGCGTCGTTGGGATTATCTCTCCTAGTCTCTCTTTTGATGCCTACCGGGAGTCTCAGCTCTATTCCAAATGCCAGCGGGTGAGCATCCTGTTCTAGAGTGAGGTGTAGCTCTGTACGCCCACAATACTGTCTGAAGCGATGTAGTAGACTACCTTTTCCTCCTCTATCTCCAACTCTTGTAAAGCTTCCTCAACTACGGTCATTCAAATCCCTAAGTCATTATGCTCTCCTCCTTCAAGAACTCTGTCATCCGACTCTCTTATACTTTGGTTCGCTTTCGAGTAATACTTAATTTTGTTCGTTCAAGTTTGGCTTTGTATTCTGCATTGGATCGAGCCTCAGTTAGGCCCTTGGGGTCATCTACCAAGCGCCGGTTAATGACAGCATTGAAGCTCCAGTCCGATTGAATTTTTCTGTTGGTTTCGGATACACTTGCAATAGGCATTTAAGTTTATCTTCTGTTCCTTTTATATTTTTTTGCGGCGCCGGAGTTGGCAGATTAACTTGCCTTGTCCTGCATCCACCCGGGTTTCCGGGTGGCTCATCATGGTCCCCTTACTGCGATCACAAATGAGTAATGAGTATTCCCCCCAAGAAAAAAAAAGACCTCTCGATATGAGTCTTGAACGCTGCAACCGATTGAGTTTGTGACCCCTTCTTGAATGGTTTGGTTCCCATCGATGCTTGCCCAATTCGATCTCCGCTGCTCTTGCAATCGACTTCACCGCTGAAATGTTTTCAAAAGCTTGTATAGTGATACCTCTTCAACTTTTCCGCTGCCATTTTAGGTGCCCCCATCTGAG